CTCCTGTCAGGCAGTTGTAGAGGGCGATCAGGTCTCCCCTCAGCCTCCTCTTCTCCAGACTAAACAACCCCAGTTCCCTCAGCCGCTCCTCCTAAGACTTGTGCTCCAGACCCCTCACCAGCTTTGTTCCTCTCTGGACATGCTCCAGCAATGCAACATCTTTCTTGTAGTGAGGGGCCCAAAACTGAACACAGTATTCAAGGTGCGGCCTCACCAGCACCGAGTACAGGGGCACGATCACTTCCCTACTCCTGCTGGCCACACTATTCCTGATACAAGCCAGGATGCCATTGGCCTTCTTGGCCACCTGGGCACACTGCTGGCTCATATTCAGCCGGCTGTCAAACAGTACCCCCAGGTCCTTTTCCACCAGGCAGCTTTCCAGCCACAATTCCCCGAGCCTGTAGCGCTGCATGGGGTTGTTGTGACCCAAGTGCAGGTCCCGGCACTTGGCCTTGTTGAACCTCATACAGTTGGCCTCAGCCCATCGATCCAGCCTGTCCAGGTCTCTCTGCAGAGCCCTCCTCCCCTCGAGCAGATCAACACTACCACCCAGTTTGGTGTCATCTGCAAATTACTGAGGGCACACTCAATCCCCTTGTCCAGGTCATTGATAAAGGATTAGGATAAACCAGTGGGCATTACAACAGCCTAAAACAGCAAGCGTAAGATTTCCAGTGCATGAAGGGAGTAGAAAGAAAGGAGTTGCTCTAGAGCCTGAAGCACGCAAAACCGCTGCAATACATGGTGGTAAAGTTGCAGCCAAGCATGAATTCTCAATGCTAACTGCATTAGGCAGCCTGAAAACACCAAGCAAACACCAGATTCTCAGAAGTGAATTCCTCATATTAAGCAAAGCAAATAAAAAAATCCTTTCCACCTGTGGAAGAGGAGCACAAAAGCAATCCCCTGTAGCTTGGAACTGTGCAACAGTTTGTTCACAGGTACTGAACTCGTACTGTTTCCTTTTGCAGCCTGGCATGGACATCCCTGGTTTACAACTGAGCAATCAGGAGTACTACCCTTATGTCTACTTCAAGATTGACCTCAGCCTTCTTGACTGCAGTTAAAGAAAAATTGCTCAAGCTTCATCTATTAGTTTTCAAGACCCTAACGTTACAGTAAAACAATCTTTAGCTGCTGAAAGTCAAATTAAAATGCAAAAGCTGTAGCAGGATAATTGCATAATATCTTCCTACGCCCTTCTGGTAATTTTTACAGTGACTTCAATATAGATATCTCTTGTTCATAGTTTTACAAAAACATATTTCAGAGGCAGGAGGTACTATGGTAGTATTTATTTTTTTGGTAAGTTACAAAGATGGAATATCTATTGGACTTGAAATAAAACAATTAAAAAAGTGTGGTGGCTAATGGATCTACTAGGTGTGCACAGTCCTGTTTTTCTAACAAAGCAAACTTAAGAAAAAAACAAAACAGAAGTAGAAAGCATCAGAGCAAAACCCAAAGTGTTTTTAATTTAAAAAAAAAGCTTAAGATTAATCCTCAAAATTGCTGTGGAGCTTGTTGTAGCATGACTTACAGTCCCAAGTGCTCGTAAGTTTACTTTTGCCAAGACATTTCAGTTAATACAGTTCCATTAGATCTCATCTGCTGGGATGAGAGAGTTGGAGCACATTTCCCACACCAAATAGGCGGTCAGGTTACTGTTGGCTGCCTGTGGTTCTTACACTGCCCTTCCACAGGGATGAGCTACAGGTGATCTACAGACACCAGCTGACAAATACCCGTAAAGGGTTGTCAAGCATCGGAACTGGCTGCCCAGGGAAGGGGTCAAGTCCTCACCCCTGGAGGTATTTACAAGACATGTAGATGTGGTGCTTAGGGACATGGTTTAGTGGTGGGATGGCAGGGTTAGGGTAATGGTTGGACTTGATGATCTTAAAGATCTTTCCCAACCTAAATGATTCTATGATTCTGTATTATTTCCTTGAAAGGAGGGGAAACTTTCAGTTCTTTCCTTCCACACTTATAAACAAGCTGATCACATGAGGGTCACCTCACTACACACTGATACACAAGACATGGAGAGCAACAGAATATAATGGTATTTTTATTATAAAAAAGCAGCAGCAACCATCACTGTTCCTGATTCCCCTTCCAAGGAAATAAAAATTTCAGATCAAAACAGTGCCAGATGGGAAGTGAAGAAAGATTGGATCCAATTTGCTGGAGACAGCACCATGGTGTTTTTCTGTTAGCACCTGGACATCCTCATGCCCCAGAACAGGGATTAGTGTCACTGCTAATACTGGGGAAAAGACCAACAGCTCCCAGTGTCTCCCACTGCAGCAGCAACCCCACTTCCATTGTATTAATGGTCTTACAAAGTCTGGCACAAACAACGATAAAGCCCCTGAGAAAGAATAGGAAAAGGAAGACTAAAGAGCATTTAAACTAAGATTGTCTGTCTAATCAGGCTTTAGGCCAAACTGTCAAGACCAGTCGCAGCAAGGGGGTGGTTTAGGACTCCCCTCCACATCAGTCTCTCTATTCTACAGTTCATTTTCCAAGAGTCATCCAAAATGGGATAGCTGTTACCATGTGCACCTTCATTTCTCTATACAAGACTAACACTGTGTGTCAAAAATATTTTGTTTTTATTCTTTAATTGAAACAGAAGCTGACCAGGTTCCACCTCCATGAAAAAAAAAGTCACATTTAAAATTGGTTACACTAATAGCCTCCAGTTACACTCAAACAGCACACTATCAACAAAATAAAACCCAAGATGTTCCAAAGAAATATCCGTGTTGTCCTCAAAATATTTGTTACACAGAATACAATCAAGTTTACTGGTTATGACAATTCATAGAATTTCTGCAATGTTTTCTTGAGATGTGTACAGTTCACTGCTGCAGTGCATCAAATAGCAGTGTGCCACGTGCTATTTCTCCATAGAAAGGCCACTGGAATATCCATCTGATTGTGAACCAGGTTGCAAACTGCTGCGCAAACTCTCCCAAGAAAAGAAGTTTCCTGAAGATCTCACAGCTCATCTTTATCCCAGTCATCCAGATCCACATCACTGAGATCAATATCATCTTCAACTGGAAGCTGTGAAAAAGGGAAGGTTTTGAGCCCACGTTTAGAAGTGCTTAACATCAGGACATCACTTTGAAAGATGCTTTACTTCGTCCTGAGAGTAAAGCTCCCGCCTGTCATCTCTTTCATTCATAAACCTCAAAGTGTATTAAGCACAGGACAAGTGATCCGAGTTTAGACTAGGAAGTTGTTTTCTACTGTCAAAAATACTCCAGATAAATGCAGATACAGACAACCCATGTAACAAAGCTACTACCATATTCTATATTTTAATTCCACGTGAAGTAGATCAAAGGATTGTAGTAACTTTGGTTTTTTACAGCAATGTTGAAACTTAAGAACATGCTTGATCACTGTGTTACTACATGGGCTTTACCTTACAAACTCCGAGATTAAGACTTGGATGGTAAGGTCAGCATATTGCAGAACCAAAGCCTCCACAAACATTCAGGTTTCAAACGCCTATGCTACCCCCTCTGTTACTCAGCACAGGTAATAACAGGTTTCAGGGGAATCAAGGGATCCGACTTTCAGATTACATCCTAACAGCTGGGCAGGGGTATCTGTCCACAGTGTCAGACAATGAATCTGGTGTTTGGTCTGGCGGCAGGATTTAGATAATGGGGAAAACAAATCAACGCATCTTGCCACAATCTTTGAAAGACAAGAATTTTCACATTGCAGTCCTTAGTTACTCTATCCAGTCACTTCTGAACCTAGCAAATCATCAGCACTTTTAGAGATGGAGCACCTCTTACCTCACCATCTTTGCCATCCCAAGGTTCAACTGAATGAATTTTAGGGAAAGCTCCACCACCCACTGGTGCTGTAGAGCCACGACCAACAGACAGCTCCCTAAATAAAAACAAAAGTTAAATTTAAGAAATTTCTCTGGTCCCCATCCACCTGGAACAGTGCCTGCTTCAGAGAAAAGTTAACTTGGAAACCTGCTTGCATCTCTTGAAGCAAGCCTAAACTGCCTGGAAACAACAACTTTTCAAATTGAGAAGCAGAAAATGAAAGAGCCCTTAGAGCAGCACTGTGAATTTACAATTGGAGCCAGCAAGACAAACTATGGGAGTTTCATATTTCAGCGGTGCCCCTTTTAACACTCTTGAACACAGCCCCTGTAACAGTATGTTGTGTATCGCTTGTGGCAACTCCAAGAGGAGTCTTTAATTCTAGGTTTGGAAGTCATCCACAACTGTTACTTGACATTTTTTGGCGGACTCTAAGCCTCCAAGGGTTACAATAGGTACAAAGTAACCAACTTCTGCTTTTAGACACCCCGTCTTCCAGTTGCTAGTTAGGCTTGCTCAAAAAGCCTAATGTTAAAATCCTGAAGAGCTAATCCCTTTGCATTCTTTCAGAGGCAAGTAAAACAGAATAAGCATTCCTCCCTAGGTGGAGTCTACAATCTTTATGCTCTTCTCAGTGCTTGTTCCCTTACTTTTGGTCAGTGTTGAGACTGCCTATTAGGTTACAAAAGCTGCACGCAGTAAGCAGAGTTAACAGCCAGCTACACCAGCTGTGATTGCACTGCTTTCTCGAGGCAGCACAGCTGAGCTGAAGTGTCAAGCGAGAGATCATTCCAGCAAGTACAGCTCTGTAAGATAATACCAAACCAATTATCTAATGCAATTAAAGGTGTTAAGTTGGCTATTGCATCCTGGAAGCACAATCCACCCTCAAGAGGAGAGGCTTCAACAAGGTGGATTAAAATATAAATAGACAAAGAGAATTTGCCATGAGAAAGGCAGACATTTCCCTCACATGCAGTAGTACAGACTGCCTGGTATTACTTTCCTTGCATCCAAATCCTATATTTTACTTGATGCTGAGAGCCTTCCCTTTCTGGCATTAAGAAGAAAGTCTGATCATTTACACAGGTAGGAGAATATAGCACTGTTTCCATTAATCCAGCACAAACAGGGTTCAATAACAGCAAGGTGGGGAGGGACTGCTGTATTTCCTTTTGCAATTCTGACTGTCCTTTGCCATTCTCCAAGCAAGGATATGGAAATAACACTACTAATGCAAGCTCTCAAAGGCTCTTACACACCACCTTATGGCAGCTCGTGTTTTACCCAGAAGCAGAGTTCTCAGTTCACTTTGACCGTGCTCAAGTAACAATTAAGTTTAGGGGTTCTGTTTCAGTGCTGCTGCCACCTTCTGTCCTCCTCCCCATTTCCTTTCCCCATTCCATTCTTCTCAGCACTGGCTCTTGCCCAACTATGCAAGAGGCAGTTTCAGGGAACCTGAGCTGAGCAGAGAGCTATTGAGTTTTTGGACGTATTGCTTCAGCTCCCCCAGTTAAGCTTATCAGAAGCCAGGGTAATAGGGAAGGGGATGGTGGGAGAGGCAAGACAGAGCAGAATCAAACGAGAAAGATAAACAGCAACACACAAAACCTCAAGAACTTCAGCAGCACCCATTCAGATTCCCAAACCAAGAACTTCCCAATTACTAATCTGAATGCACCATTTAAATTAAATAGTACTGATTACCAAATACCATTAATTTCTTGGGTTACCAGAGAACCAGAATTTTTCAAGATCAAAGCTCACTTCTGTTTTCAAAAGTTGTGCTAAAACAACCAGTTAAGTCTAGATGTCCAAAATCTTAATTCTGTCCACCACAAAAAGGTAGAGATTGCTTTATTAGTTACAATCCTCAATTAAATCATTCCCTTACACCAGTGAATGCTCATCATTTTAATCCTCTTAATGTGTAAGTCTTGTCTGCTCCAGAAGTGCCTGATTTTCGTCTGAAGAGTCACAGCCCCAGTTACAGAAAGATTTAAGTCATTAAAGTTTCATACCTGAGAAACTCATTAATCCCTTGCTCACTAAATGATCCTTTCAAAAGGGCAAATTTCATCTTCCGAGCATTAACAGCTGCCATTGCTGGATACCCAAAGCCTCCAATCCCCAAAGAGCTCTCAAGATCTGACTGAGCACCTGCTTCTGTCCACAGCCACCTTGAGGAAAAAATAAAACACAAAATAAATAATTAGGATACGCACTACAATCATTTTGAAGTCACACATACTCTGCAACCCTGTAGAGTTCAAGCTGGGCTCTGAACTGCCCTTGACAGTGTCAACTGCTACTGAAGTCAGCAAGGAATCACAGGGTCCTGCTCTTGAACCACGCCACAGAAGAAAGCCCTTCCCTGAACAGCACCGCTAGGCCAGCCCCATGCTCACAGCCACCGAGAGCTGGATCAGAGGAACAGACACAAAAGACAGTCCAGGGAAAGAACTATGTTACCAATCCAAACAAATCCCACTGTAGAGGATTTCTGACCAAAGACTGCAAGACCAGTCTTTTACTCAGCATACGTTCCTCCTTTGTCAGTTCTCAGTTCCTCTAATGCTTAACAAGTCCCCTGAGGGACCTCTGGAATCAGCCAATCTCAGAATTTCCCACCAGGCTTTCATGACTTTTTTTTTTTTTTTTTAAACACAGCAGTCTGTATTGGAACAACTCTCACTTCCCAAAGATCCTAACCTCCACTTGAGAGGAGGAGAAGAAAAGGCAAAGCCTGCTGGCCTGCTTCTTTGGGAGCATGAAATTTGTTGAAGTGCAATTTACTTTGTTCTGAGAATTCAACAGTCATACTGGCAGACTCACCCACCAGCAAAAGACTTAAAAGAAACTGGATAAATACTGCCCTAAAATATTTTGGCATTCAGGACAAGAATAACAGATGCTTAATCTGATCTCATTAATGCTTAGATATGACTTGTAAATGCAGGATTTGAGAGGTGGATGAAAAGAAAAAAAAAAATCAGCAGTTTATTCTAAAGCCTCGGCATCCCCTCCCACAGTACAGCTAGTAAAATCACAAAATACACTACTCTGAACAAGGAACAGCTCTCATCTGCAGAGAAATCACTATAATACAAATTCCACCCTGTTACCTCTAAAAATGCTCACATCTTTTCCGAGAAGACTAGTCTACAGTGACACTTACCCCCACATTTTCTTTTTGTATTTTTCAGCCATTTTTAACATGACATCCAGGTAAGAATTCCTCCCTGAAGCTCCTGTTTGTTAGACAGAATTAGACAAGTTAAAACACACAACTACAGGCTTTAAGTGACAAATTCATATAGAAGTCTGCTTGTATTTCTACCTGTGTCAAGAATATGAGGCAGGACAGAAATGATGCAGAGCTGATGAGCGTCACAGGTACTCTTCAGAACATCTTCACTAATTATCTAGAAGCAAGCAGCAGAAAGTCAATGAGAGTAAGACTTTGTTACCCAGCTGTGACTGCACTTTCCTTCAACAGCCTATCAATTCCATCCTACAGGGTAATAAGCATTGAAACAGCTTGACACAAAAGCTTACAAGCCTCTCCTGCTTCACTGGTCCCCCAACACAAGACTAATTACAAAGAGTTCACAAAGTCTTCTGTTGAGACTTGCAGCAACAGGAAGATAAGCAGTGCCAAGTAAGGCTTAGAGAGGACCATAAGATGTCACTTCTTGCTCAAAGTCACTGTCCTTGGACCAGGGCTGGAAACAGCACAGCTAGACCTGTGTATACCTGTAGGTTTCATTCATAGTACTACTCGCATAAGGAGAGCCAGCAGGGTGCAGCATTTGCTGAAGATGAGGATATTTAATTGACAGTAACAGAGCAATACCAATTGTGTGTGATCTACCTTAAAAAAGAATCAATCCATTTATCTACATCAGTGGTCTCCAAAGTTTGATTGTGCACTGCTACCAGTAAAATAATATTTCTAAGCACACAGCCCCAATATAGATCAATTATATACATGTGCTACTGTACTAACAGCATGTACATTATAAGGCATACAGAAAATAGATATTTTAAAAGGTTGAAAAAGATGAAATAGACACAGTTTTAAAATATCTTTAAAATTAATTAATGGCACAGGTTTTTTTTTCCTTCCTGCACCCCAATGGATTGTCTTGCATGCACCCTACTTTGGAGACAACTGATCACCATTTCAAGTCTACCAACATCAAGCTGAAACTAGGAGTCACCATACAGAGTGTGGAGTTTTTTGGACAACAAACAAGATTCGTCATCATGCAACTTCTAACTGACAGCTTAGAAGTTACAAAATCCTGCTCTCTTGTTGTAAGAAAAAAAGATGGGGCACAGAACCCAACCTGTTCGCTTGTTTCTCAAGAGAGGGTTCAAACACTCTGCTACCATCCCATCAGTGCTTTCACTGTACCAGTTCCGATAATATTTTGGTCAAAAATAAAGTCACAGTAAAAATTAAGTACAGCTGAATGGTCAGACTTGTCATCCTTGACATGCTGCTGCAGAACAGTGTGCAAGCAGCACACTTAGGCTGTTTTATTTACAGTTAATATATAGTCCTGTAAAGACTGCTGCAAAGGATAGGATGGAAAAGCAATTCGAGAGAGTCATGTACTGTATGAGGTAAAATGAGAAAGTGAGGTACCTCCAGGAGCTCAGGTGGTGGGGCATTATCAGAAAACAGATCCAGAGCACGAGCAATGATATCAGATCTAGTTCTGCCACCATCGTAATCAACAGGGTCCTCTCCTTTCTGGAAGATTTTAATTGTGGGAAATCCACGAATCTGCAAGACAAGTTTAAGCTGTAAGCTCAAATCTGAATAGTTATGGTAGAAGTTATCTGGTACTCTGATGTGTTCTAGATTAAGAACAAGGTAAGAGATTTAACATTTACATGAGTCAAGTCTCTCAGCACGTTATGACTCAACTGGAACAATTCTGTAGCTTCCTACTCCTGCCACAATTCAAAACAAGGCTAACACACTGAAACACTGTTTCAAGTTTTAGGCCTAATGAACCGGCAATAGTTTCATCTCAGTTTAGAGGCACCAAGTACTGTGGGTTTAAGTACCTGGAGGACTATCTTAACTCTGATTTCTTATCCATTAGTTGCCCCGATTTGCCTGTGGGGAGACAGCACTGGGCCTATGTGGCAACAAATGGACCTTAAGCCCTCTCTGCTACATTTCCAGTAAAACTGG